AACTAGTGGACTTGTAAACTAGAAAAGGTTTAGAAATTGAGCTCTCCAGCAGTGCGCACCCATGCCTCACTGGGAATCAAACCCTTTACCTTCACGTTAAGTCCAGCTAGTCGACTATTCAGCCACCAGAACGTACAATTAGGAGTCATGCTTGTTGGCACTGGTCAGCAAGGCATATCTGCAATCTTGAAGGAATTGATGCCTCTCCTGAGATTCGAACCCAGTCCACCCAATTCTACCACTTAGCTTTTTGGGCAACTCCTGACCCTTGAGTGTAATCCAGATAGGAAACAGCGAGTTTGGCGTTCGAGAGTGACATGCAGGAGATCTTGTGGTGAAGAGATGAGAGTTTATGGGCAACAGTGTAGAAGACTACAGAGAACAGTATGAAATGGACATGTACTATTTAAGCCCTATGTTTCACCCGGAACCTAAAGGAATAATGATAAATGACTAGTTACTAATCCACGATTTTTGAATCAGTCACAATATAGACCTGAACTAATTTAAAATGGATTCCAACAATGAAAACGTGTTAGATTAAATTACAGTGACAACCGATAAATAATAAACCATAAATTCAGCCCACTGTTTTCAGATGATATAAGCATTCTGTAAAAGATACATGCTGTTTCTCTTTATTTTTATCGCTACTTTGATCCTCTTTATTATTGGCACTTGTTGTAGCTGTTAAACATAAATTACCTTTACTATTCTGGAAGATGCCATGCTACAGACACATGCTTAGCCATTACCTTCCTTGGTGAGTAATCTTAGCTGATATGGGATCAGGTCGATAAAAAGAGCTAGCGGTGGTCAAACGAAAACATGGAATCAGTTCATGTAATCTCTACCGGTAATTCTGAGCCACATAGGGAGGTGTGGACTGCCTGGTTTGAGGTCCTCAGGATTCTAAGAACCAATGGCTGGAAACAGTTGGTGATATGACTCAAAATCGTTTCCACTGCTGCAAATCTATTCAGTCTTTGTGACCTGCCATATCCGTTGTCTTTACGTGTTACTATTCTTTCTCCCTGACATCCCTGGTTATTATCGTCCTTTCGAACCACCTTTTTCTCTTCTGTCTTCCTTTGTGTGCTACAAAGAGTGGGGTGGCTCGAACTGCTGCACTTCTGTTCGACTTTCTGTGTTGAAACCAGCCAGTCAGTCAGCCAAAGTATTTTTATATGTGGGATACACTGTTCTGTGAGTTTAATATTTCACGGGAAAAGAACTGTTCCATTGTTGGAGGACTGGATTAAGCATATGTTGGTCTTGTTTGTTTTAGGAAAATTCTAGTACCTACTAAGCAATGCATTCAACTCAAGCAGACAAAAGACAATCGATTATCAACCAACGCACTACTGAACCTTCCTTAGCTGATAATAAACCCTGTAAACAGGGAAGGTTGGGCGTGAGGATTGAAGACCTATGTTTCACTCGTGACGCAAAGGAATGAAATGAGAAAATGCATCAAATGAATTTAAGCTACTGATATAAAAATAAGTAACCTAATAATTAGGCGTATTTTCGTAGAATTAGTATGCTGTAAAATGAATTAGTCATCAGATTAATTTGAACACACTTATTCAAATAACATAGAAAAGACAGAGGTTATGAAAATCCTCAGTTAAAAACAACAAGCACTGATCACCAACAGTGGGGGAAATCCTAAGGAAATCGTCTATTTCACTTACATAAAAGGCAGTATCGTTTCAGCTACAGGCAAACGGCACAGATGATGATATCAAAGCCAGCCAAGATGGACTGGGAGAGCGTTCACTACTTTGAAATCTGCAGCACTCAACACAAGGGACAAAATCCGAATTTTTAATACTAATTTCAAGTCAGTGACTCTATATATTTCAGGAACCTAATGCGTTCGTCACATAAAACATTTCAAAGAGCCAACTTCAGACTTCTATCGACAGATGCCTTCGCTCAATACTAGAGATCAGATGGTCGAGCAACAGGAAATAATAAGTAACAAGGAACTTTTGAAAGCAGTGAACTGGCTAAAAATCTGTTGCCGAACAAATATGCAGAAATAAATGGAGGTGTATTGGACATAGTCTGAGGAGACATGTCAATATTGTCACACGTCAGGTCCTCCAGTGGAACCCAAATGGGAAGCAACCTGTAGGGCATTCAAAGGTGACATGCAAAACAGGAAATGGGAGATTATGGAAAATTCTTGAGCCATAGAAAAAGGAAGGCGTAGAACAGATGTGCCCCTGAAGCCCCATGTTCCATTCAGAATACAAAGGGAGCATAATAATAAATTAATGCGCGAGTAGCCATTGCTGAAAGTACGCTGAGGGAATAAAATGCTTTATTAGGTACAAGGTGAACCAAAAATCACGGTGGTTTTGAACAATTAATAATAGTATGTAGGTGTAACGATCCCAATTATGAACAGGTGAAATAAAAATATGATAGAATAAATCTGTTGACTATATACTTTTATCAAATAAATTGACTCCATGATGAAAAAGATCCACTAAGTTGCCGTATGATAAAACGAGATCTATACAATTCATTCTTGGAGAAAATAAACTGTGTATCTCCCAGAATCCAGTTTACTTCGGAAGAAGAATCAGACGTCGGTGAACTACCATTTCTAGACTGCCTAGTTAAGACAAGGGGAAACGGACATTTTAGTATATCCATATTCAGGAAGAAAACGCACTCCAATAAATATTTGGACTTCAGATCATCACGCCCCATCAGCGCAGAGATTTCAGTTGTTTCAAGTCTTCTTAAACGAGCACACTCTCTGATAAGGAATGAGGAAGAAAAAGAAGAAGAAATATCAAACATTACTAAAACTCTCAAGCAAAACAACTACCCAAGGGACTTCATCAACAAAATCAACACAGACATTAAGTATGGCCGAAAACGCATTCCGAAAACATGGACCACAACAGTCGTCATTCCATATAGAGCAGAGACGTCAGGTGATATCAGAAGAGTACTCAATCAGCTCGACATTAGAGTTTTCTTTAAGACATCAGACACACTACGAAACAACCTTGTCCATATAAAAGACCAAATCCCTAAAGATTCACTATCTAATTGTGTCTATAAAATAAAATGCTTGGAATGTGATGCGATATACATCGGACAAACATCTCGAGAAATCAAAATCAGAAGAAATGAACACCGTAGAGCATCTGTTCGACCACTGAGAAATCCAGTTGAACTGGAAAAACTTGAAAAATCATCAGCCATAGGTCTACACGCTATAGAATCAGGTCACAAAATTGATTTTGACAACATTGAAATAATCCAGAAAAACTTCAGAAATCATAAAGAACATCTAATATCAGAAGCACTTCATATCAAGTGGAATCCAAATTGTCTGAATAGGAATGATGGACTAAAACAGAATTCGACCTAGTTACAACACTCGCTCTACCATGAAGTGACAAAATCAACAGGAATGTGATATTCAAATTCACTATGTAAACACACACTGCCTTTATAATTTTAAACACTGATCAAATCCAACAATCCACACTTGATTTTGTTATCTTTTCCAATTGACCAACTTGACAACGAAAAATGCTCCCAGACAGATGAACGATGATCAAGTTAGTACACTTTATTTTGAAAGCATAACAGATGTAGTGTTACCTTTGTCATTTGGTTCAGTGATATTCATTCTTATTTTAACTTTCAATATGTTCTTTCAACTTGACCTAAGTCTATTTTCTCACCCCTTAACTCTTTGTTATATATATGCTGAGATTTTGTAAATTCCGGTTTAATAATACTTTGATAATTTTCAAGTATTGGTTTGGTAGGGATTTTGTTTAATTGTATGGAGGATTTCATCATGAGCTGACATCAGTTAGAGAACCACTGGAAAACCAGCACTGGAGTACTGGACAGCTGTTTCCTACGTCCTAGTTTGGGACTCTTCATCAGTACGCACCCACCGACAGGGTTCGAACCCAGGACCTTCTCGTTACAAGGCGAGCTCGTAGACCATTGGATCGGGTCCCAGTGGCTCAATGGTCTACGAGCTCGCCTTGTAACCAGAAGGCCCTGGGTTCGAATCCCAGTGGGTGCGTACTGCTGAGGATTCCCAAACTAGGACGTAGGAAACAGCTGTCCAGTACTCCAGTGCTGGTTTTCCAGTGGTTCTCTAACTGATGTCAGCTCATGATGAAATCCTCCATACCATACTTTGATAAAGCTATTAGCAGCCGCATTAAATAGTGAAATGTCAGTAAAAACAACAATATCGTTTTGTTTTTCATTAATTGGGAAATACAACAACCTTTATTATAATGAATATCATATACCCAATGCCCAAATTTTTTCAAACTGTTAAAAGTGAACTTGGTTTGAACATATATAGCATTTGTTCCACTCTAAATCTGAATTTCACGCGGATTTTTCTAACTAATCCCCAATTTCATACCTAGTTTTGATTGGCTACCAACAATGTCACTATCATGATGCTTTATTACTATCTGATCACTTTTAATACCTGTCTTGAATTTTCTTACTCACCCAGGAAGTTATCAGTTATATATATAAATGAATAATTTAACAAATGATTCAGATATAATTTTTATTTGGTACTGGTATCATTCTGAAATCATGAAACGTCCTCTGTTTGACATACCTAAACGATATGTAATGTCTAACCCCACATAGAGTTAAACTACACAGGCTCTTATCTTGTAATGAATATGTTAGAAGTCAATCATCTGGCTGAAATTTTATAAAATCGCATTCTTTGAATGCAGTTGATTCTTCGAATGCTATTATTACCACCCAGTGTCCCTTTCCCACTTCCAATAAGCGCCTGTTTGACTTCACTCACTAGAAAACAACGCCTCACGGATCACTAGGTCTAACGGCTGAGCTAGTAGCTGCTACATTCTACCGCGACGCAGATTTGCATTTCACCTTGAATCACCACCATCCATTACGTGTAAATATTAAAGTGCTGTTTTTTTTGTGCTGTTAAAATTGTATCGTTTTAGTCAATTCGATTGTGGAATTACAACAAACTGGTCAAATAGTACACAGTCAAAACAACTGCAAAGATTAGGCAATAGACGACGATGTTACAGTACAGGGTTAAATGAATCTACCTTGATTACAAGCATACCAAATATTTCCATGAAACCGCTAATGGATATAACAAACCCATTTCAAACAACTAGTAGTATGAAATATAACGATTCCAACTATATTCTTTTAGCTGCAACTAATTGTTCAAATATTCAGTCTAATTTTAATAATACAAATACGATGCATAATTTACTCGATGGAGGAATCAACGGCGGCATAACTCTGTCAAACACTGAAAGGAATCCTGTTTTGTATCCAAGTAGCCGCTTGCGTCTTGGAGAAATTTTCTAAAATGTATTTAATGTTTCTGCTCTCTGAATTTTTTTCTTCCCTTTGTTTTCTTTTTTGTCAAAAAACAAGAAAATTACTTTACTCAAAATAAAAAATAAAATATGTAATATAAAAGTAAATATAGAAGAATATCAAATACCTCAAAAAAGAAAGACAAAACATCCAATAGTTTCATGTGTAAACTGTAAATGTCAAATTTTCAAATAATTTTGAAACATATTTGCATACCTTATGCAAATTTATGTGTAAATACATATGTATAAAGTTATGATGATAAAATTGCATGAGTTAATCTGTGTCACTAATTTCCTGATGGTACTTAATATTCACTCTGCAAACTGTCACGCTGCATCAGTGTCACAGTGGTAGAAAGCTCGCCAGCAGTGCAAGTGGTCAAGGGTTCGATCCCAGACTACAGACGCACTCCTTCACCTCACTAAGCCATTATTAAGAATGGTAAATAGAGAAGGTTAGGCATGAGGCTAGCAACTCCATCCCGTAAAAATAAATACCACTGTTACTGAAACTTCAAGTCTTTAGCCTGAAGGCGCCCTATGTTCCACTGGGAACGTAAAGGAATAAAAAAACTGTCCTTCTACAGGATGACAAGTGAGACAAAAATAGAATTCTTTTTTGTCAAAGGATTCCAACGGAAAGTTAGTAAATTACCTATTTGACACTACTGACTATATCTTGACTTTACTGGAATCAGGTAGTTTACTAAACTTGGAGAAAATGTCATCATAGGATAGTATTTATTAATTTAAAAATGAAAGTCTAACCTAAATTAAAGACAATACTAAGTTGCTGAGTAATACACGATTTACACGGACTGAAGAGGCAGAGTGAATATCTGATCATACTAAGGAACTCAGTCGTTGGCATAGCGGTTAGGACGCTCGCCGACCATGCACATGGTCCGGGGTTCGATCCCCGGCCACCGACGCACTCCTTTACCTCGCTAAGCCAGAAATAATGCTGGTGAAGAGGAAAGGTTGGGCATGAGGCCAGCAACCCCATCCCGTAAAATAAACACTGCTAAAGAAACTTCAAGCCACTAGCTTGAATCCCTATGTTCCACTGGGGAACGTGAAGGAAAAGAAACTAAGGAACTCAAAGATAATTGACGGGTGATGCTAAAACTCCAGGTTACGGGAAAACAATTCACAGTTTTCACAGATGCAAGTGATTGTGTCATAGATGCAATCTTAAGACAGACAAATAGAGTTGCACAGTATGCTAGCCGTGTCTTGATGCTTGCAGAACAGAAGTATTTTACTGCAGTAAGGGAGTGTTTGGTGACTGTTTATATGCTAGAGAAGTAGAGACCCTACCTGGTTGATCGTCGATTCCACAGTGAGACGGATTACAAACCTCTTCAGTGTTTCAAAACAGCGGAAGAAACTCAAGGGGAATTACAACGGTGGGTGTGACGTCTGCAGGAATACTATTTTACTACAGAATATATTCCATTTAAATAAAGCGTAATAGCTGATTATTTGTTGAGACCCGATAGAAAAGCTGAATTACCAAAGGCAGCATATAGAATAAATACCTCATGAAAAAATCCATCTCAACTTCTTCGTAGCCAAATGTCTGAGCATACTCCTAAAGCAGTAGTCCAGGAGATAAGTGGAGGGAAAGAAAACAACATTTCGGAGGGAAATATGAATTTGATGACATTTCTTTGTAGAAACACAGATTAAAACTAACTGCATTCAGAGCACTTATTTCTGAAGGAACATAATGGAACTTGGATAACAGTGATTCGGAAAAACCTTCGTTAAGAGTTGTCGTAAGAATGTCTATGGCTAGTTCATAGAAGTATTGTGGTGAAAGCTGGCTGCTAGCCAAAGTTGGTAGACAGTAATTGACGTCAGTGTTTATGTCCCCAATATTGGTGGTGAGAAAATGAGAACAAAGGCTTTGCGTAGGCGGATACAGTTAGCATATGGATGATCTGACACAGCCACAAAAAGATGCAAGGTTAACTTTCTGTGAGAAACAACCAATCAAAAGACTGCATTGTCTACTAACAATAATCTACAATAATGGACATTAAAATCTATAAATATGTGTTGATTTTCCTGAATAAACGATCTGTTGCCTGGCCCTTGTCTTCTGTTGTTACAGTATTACAAGAACATGTAACCTCTTCACTAAACGTAAGTACTAGCCAATCACGAGAGATGATATTGTGAAATATCTCCTCTCCTGCCCAAAATGCCAATTAACTAAGCTTAATCAGCGCTTTAAGTCACAACTCCAATGGATTCTGGTAACAATGGTTGGCGATTTATGGCTGCCTGCTTGAATCACTGGACTCCCTGAATTTCCATCCAACGCAGTGCATCATGCATTCTCGAATTCCTGATTCTTATTGTTTTAATCATTCGGTTGTGTCCTTGAGTCGCAAAGTATACCCATATCCATTTTTAATTGGCTCTCAAAGTGCTGGTGCACCTTTTTCGAAGACGAAGGAGATATAGCATACGGGACGGGCTATGCTTCAGACCGAACAGCGTCGCGTCACATGAAATACTATAAATTGCTATTTTACTTGCAGACCCTGAATAAGAAGAAAATATTATGCAATAAATTACCCTCAGAATTCTGTACACTGTGTAAACATTCTGTCCAGAATAAAGCTATTATTGTTACTATTATTATCATTACTAAAAAAAGACTTTATCGTTCCCTTCCCGAAAACATCGAGTGGTAACCAATGCCAGTTACTGATGACCGAGCACACCATCCGTTAGGTAGATTCGGTAGCGATTCGACAACGATGCACTAAAACTCACTGAGAAAGTAATTAGACTCACTGTTCTGGATTATGGCATAATAAAGATGAGCCAGCTAGAAACGCTGAGTATCAGTAGAATAAGAAAGAAACCGCATCACACCCAGTCTAATGGTTTGACAGAAAGAAATAATAGTGTACTTGAAGTGGCTGGAAGAAAAAGGAGGCAACTGGCCTGCAGTAAGCTTGCTACAACACAGAGTGAGAGCTGGACAAATAAGTGGTTGCATTCCTATTTTTCTGATAGGAAGCAGTACACCGTCTGCAATGGAAAGTCCTCCACTACCTCACTTACTTTAGCTGGTGTTCCTCAAGGTGCTGTTCTTTCTCCTTTTCTGTTTTCTTTTTTCTTACATGACTTGCCCCATTCTGATGTAGCAAATTTTGTCAAGTATGCTGATGACCTCTCTGTCTCCATGCCTGTCAACTCTCAGTCAGACTGTTCCAAATTAAGTAACTTTCTCTCGGAAATTAGTCAGTGGTCCTCTTCAAACGATCTTAAGCTGAATCCGTCTAAATGTCAGGTAGTAAATTTCACTTTCAGACGAAAACGTGACCTACAACATCAAGCTAGCTCACATGGTCCCACTATCATTGACGGCATAGAGGTTGAAACTACATCTAATGTCAAGTACCTTGGACTGAGTATTTCCTCCGATCTTTCCTGGTCCTCTCACATCTTGCTAGTTACTAGAAAGATTTTTCGCTTAACGTTCTACGTTAGGAAGTTAAGGCAGTCTGGTATAAAGCAGTCTTTGCTTTCTCAGTTTGTCAACTCTTGTATTCTAATTTCGTTAAACCAACTGGTTAATACCATTGTGGATAGACATATAATGTCATGTAAGAAACTAGCGAATTCTATATTGTCAGACTCCGAACACCCTCTCTATACGCAGCTCTCTCCTTGCATTTCATCTGGTAGAACTAGAAGCAACTACACGAGGCTATATGCCAGGACTACCAAGTACAAAAACTCCACAATACCTTATCTGGCACAGCTGTTATGTGATGGGAAAACTGTTAGGTATGACACAATCAACTTACTGCGGCACTCTAAAAAATAGTTCCTATTAGCTTTTGTTCTCCTTTCGTTGTTACTATTATATTGTTGCTCACATATTCTATTACACACTAATTTTATATTTCATATCCTGTGGTGCATTGTTTAAATATGTGAATGCAATGCTGTTCTTTTTTATTTCTTTTATTTATCTTTTTTTCCTTTTGTTGTTGTTGCTTTTTATTTTTAAAATCTTATAAAATTTATGAGGTAATTAGATGCAATATTGTAGTGCACGCTGAAAATTCCATACCTGTGCCACAAATACTGTTTGGAATAAAGCTATTATTATTATTAGTTAATACTATAAGCACTTCGAGACTCAACACATGAAACAACAAAGAAGTACCCATTTCAGTCTTTTTATGATAGGAAACCACAACTACCAGTATATAACAAGACCCATCAATCAACAATGTGAAGCGTGAATAGAAGACTGATGCTGTAAAATTCGAGCAGAGAGAAAAGCAGAAATTCATAATGTATGAGTTCGGAGATCAAGTAAAGTGTATAGAAAGAAAGTAGATTGCTGGAGGCGGGACAGGTTCACTCGAAATTCTTTTAAATTGGGAAGGACCATATACTATGACTGAGAGACCTGGTCTCAATTATACCATCAGAAAAGGTAACAAACAGAGGCGTTTTAACTCCAGCCAACTTCATGGATTTATATAGTGGAATAAAGAAGTCAATACCAAAACAAAACAAGAATGGATAGCACAAAGAAGGTGTAGAAGACTGCGGTCGAGAGTTCTCGGCCTGGGGATAAGTGTAATGTGTGCCGTTGTCCAGAATTTGTAAGTAATATATTGGCGGAGTCTTCTGAAAGAATGTTCAACAGTCGAGCAACGGATTAAGCTGCAAAGTGGCGACTGTGAAACAAAATAGAAAATAAGGAATGAAGTCACAGGAAGCAGAATGCGAGTAACTTTTCAAACTGAAGTTTCAACAAAAATTTTACATACTAAATTTTCCCTTACTGTGATTACATTTTTATTATCTGCTGGACATTACTTGGTTGGGGGGAGGTTAGCAGTGGATTTAAAGACATGTGTTTCGATCTCTTTGGGGCTCGTCATCCCCAGTTAGTGGTGTTATTTCCACTGGGATTCACAACCAATTATTCATCATCGCTAAAGCGTTGCCTAATAGGCTACTGAGCCACAATAGGCATTTATTACGCCGTAAGTATCAAAATAACTTCTACAAATAACTTCTGGATATCATTTATTTCTGATCTTAACTATTTTAATAACATTTGTATTGATTATATTGGTTACACAACACATTCACCTAGTAACTGTTTTCGTTTACTTGATTAGTGGTTCATATGGTCCTGTTCTGCAAGCGCGTAATCATCTTAATATTCAGGTATAACTTCTCAGTGAAAATGACCAAGATATGCTACGACTGAGTTTCTATGTTTACCTGCGCCTATATTTTATCATTATCATGCAAAACTATCTCACCAAGTGTAAGGCATGTTAAGTATGTATTTCTAACATGTTTTTTTTATTAATTTTAAACTGTTCCCAGAGGATTAAACATCATGAAATCGTACAATATCATATGATATATACATTAAGGAATATGTTTATTGTATCTGTGTTTAAAATTATTATTATTGTTCCCTTGGGATCCTAGTGGAACATAGGGCTTCAACTGCACGTCTCCACTTGCTTCTGTCTTCTGCTGTACTTTTCACTTGCATCCATGTTAGTCCATACTGTTTCAACTCCTCTTCACACGATCTCCTCAATGTCACCCTTGCACCGACGGACCACTCGCCACTTCCCTTTCGGGTTCCACTCAAGCACTGGCCTGATGCGCGATGTCACCCAACGGCCTCCTCAGCGAGTGTCCAATCCATCTCCACTTTCTCCTGCATATTTGTTGAACGATTGGTTCTTGTTTTGTTTGTTCCCATAGTTTCTTGTTGGTGATTCTTTCCGGCGGCCATCTGATCTTGAGTATAGAACAAAAAAAGCTGTTGATAAATGTCTGCAACAGGCTGTTGGAAATATTCTTTGTGACCCGCCAAGTTTCTGATCCGTATAGTATACCCTATTATATTATTATTTTCGTCTGTTCCTAGAGGCAAATAGAGCTTCAGCAACACATAGTCTTTTCTGCAGCTTTCTTTTGACTAGCTTCAACATTACCCGTAGGATTTCATTTTCTCATCAGATGATATCCTCCATGTCACTCTCAGATGCTCAATTCCTCGTTTCCCAATTCGGGTTCCACTCAAGGGTCTGGCATATGATGTTGCTCAACAGTCTTCCCAGAGTGTGTCAGTCCACCTCCATTTCCCTCTGCATATTTTACTGGCGATAGGTTCATGGATGGTTATCTAGCTGCTAGAGTTTCTTGTTACTTATCCTTTCTAGCAGATCATCTGATCTTCATTACAGATCGAAGGCAGCCATTGATAAAATTCCGCAGTCTGTTGGAAATATTTTTGGTCTGTGAACCATATGGAAAAATCGGCTGACTTGGCATTAGTTTTGAAAATCCTAATGTTGTTCCTTATGTGTTGATAACAGTAGATTTCCACACTAATTTCAGATTATTGAATGTCTGTCTTATTTTTCTAATCTTAACTTCGATATCTTCATCTGTGGCGTCTGTAGCTCAAACTCTGCTGCATAGATAGGTAAGTGAAAGAATTAACGTCCATAAGATTTCTTCATTTTCTAATACAAAATAAATGTGATGTAGCTTACTTATATGTAGTATATTCACGTGAATTTATGAGTGAATTCATTCAATTATTGATTTTACTGATTTCAGTAATTATTAGAATAAATAAAGTATTTGTAAATCAGGATATTTATCAGTAAGAGAAGAAATGCGTCCATCTGTTCTACGACGATATTATCACAAATAATATAGAAGCGAGAAAAAGAAAGTATGCAATGGGAAAAGTAGTAAAACACAACACAACAACCAACCATAATGATGCGTACTATAGTCATCTCAGCAATTTTACATATACTTTTAAATATAAGTGCCTCAATCTATATTTTAGCTGATAATAATTATTCTCAAGGAAATATATTCCGATTTATAAATGATAAATATTTTCAATTAAATTATAATAATTTGTATACCATACTATTTATTAATTTATTAATAAAAATTTTAGAAATAATTGGAGTATTTTTTCACTTAATATTATTTACTTGGTTATTTTATACGTTTAAAACAAAACAGAAAATTAAAATTTTAAATATACCGCATAAAAGTAAATGTTCTTCAATGAAACCACTGAACTATTTAAAGTCAACATTCACTAATAAGTTAAAAAATGAAAATAATCATTCATATGTAGTAAAGTATCATCAAAGTATTCATCACAGAGATGAAAATAAAGAAGAAGAGAATGGTAATGTGAACAATGATAATAATAATAATAATAATAATAATGGTGGACAGGAAAGTTCGAATCTCAATGCGATTCCTAAAATTGGTAATGATGAATTCATTGACGATGTGTTGAATGGACAAGAAGAGATTTCTGAAATAGGTGATAATATATCAGAGAGAACACTTTCAGATCTTATTCATTCATATACACTATCTGATTTATCAATGTATATTAATGAAATAGACGAGTGTATTTCAGGTTTATCACAAGAACAAAGTCATTTGGATTCATTAATGAATATTATAAGTGAAATTGAGAAAACAGTCGATTTTTCAGATATCGATACGGACTACAATGATAGTAAGACAACAATACCAATTACTATGAAACAACAATTATTTGGTGATTTCAAATTAATATCGAATACAAATATTCAAATTGTCTACACAATTGAAAGTATTCAAAAGTCAATGGTTTATAATTACTCATTTACTTTATTTATAATTTACAATTGTTATTTATTAGTAATATTAACACCTTATATTCTAAATAGTTTAAATATCAATTATTTACAAAGTTACCTACCTATTTATATGATTCATTTAAATCTTTTAAGTATCAACGTTACGCGGGATAATGATAATAGTAATGAATTGAATCATTTGGAAGTTAGTTATCACTATGACAACCATAATAATCAATCATCAATATGGGAACCCTTAGAACAATTTCTTACATGTAAAATAAGTGTTGAAAAGACAGAATGTTTTAAAAATAAGTCATCTTTATTGAATTTAATGAATACTTCAGATTTCACTGAGCTTATATCTAATTGTGAGAATGAATTAACACAGGAATTGTTCAATTTTCAACAGTTCAACAATGCAACATATTGTTTTGCATTACTTCATCATTGGTTGAAAAATAAACAATTTGATCAAATTACACGGATCATATTAACATTAATTATTCATGTATTATGTTCTGGATTAATTATTAAGAAATTTTTACTGATAACTGTATCAGATGGAACACAAACACCTTTGGATATAGCATATTTCAAGTCGATTTGTACACAGTGTAATTTAGATAGGATAGAAATGGAATAGAATGAAGAGTGATGACATGCAATGAGGGTAAAGTTATATTCAGACAACTGACGGATACATTTCTTAAGCCTTCAAGAAGATTACTTTAGTATTAAATAGCTTATTTTTGTGGCAACTTCACAATTTGATTCATTTTCACGTCTACATGTCTTAATTTTACAATCATTCTGTCCATTAGTGAGTTGATCGTATGTAGTTAGTTCAATTCAACTTTCAGCATAACTGTTGATTTAAATAAGGTTTTTTGTTCCTAAGTTTATTGTTAAACTTATTTTCAGTTAACTTTTGATGGAATTAAAGAAGAAACTGTCTTAGTCACGAAAGAGTGTCATTATAATTTAATCATTCCCATTTTAAAATTATGAATAGAGTATTTTTAAATAGAGTATTTGACAAAAGGAACCTCCTCAGTGAATTTATTATCAACCTCTACAAACTTATACATATATATGTATAAATATATGACTTTCAAGAAACTGTATTTCTTGAGGAAATTTAAATAACTGGTGTGATTACGATGATAGCTCAGTTTCAGCTTATCGAACAGGTTATGTAATATACGGAATATTTTGACTGGACGCTAGTAACTAGCGTGATGTGTCTAGTCCCTTTTTCGGTGCAGACTGGATTTTAGCAGTTACGTTTGCAATGTGGTCACCACTCTAGGTAGCTCGCCATCATGGTGCACATTGATTCGATGATATTAGATGGTTGGAGGCAATCGGAAGGAAGCCTTGCACCTAGGTTTCCTGCTAGTTGGCACTCGTCAGCCAGTCTGCACCGAAAAAGGTACTAGACACATCACACTAGTTCCTAGTGTCCAATCAAAATATCCACTACAGTCCTACAGGAATTCAGTCACGAGCCAGAATAGCTCAGTGGTAATGTCTCTGACTACAGCACTGGGTGACGCGGGTTTGAATCTCAGAGGGGACATAAGTCCTTTCGAGGTTGCAGATACGTCTTGCTAAATGACGAGTGACAACTAGCACGAAAACTCAGTCCAAGCAGGGCTTCCTACTGATTGCTTCCAACCATCTAATATCACACGGAATATTTATTGGGATCAGTTGGAAATCTCCTTTCTGCTACTGCCTACCTGAGGCCACCAAGATGTTTGAGATTAGCATACTGGGACTGCTTTTCCATAACAAGAAGAATGTATTCCTTGAATTCTCGGTACTCATCAGTTGAAAATTCACACAGAACATGACTTCTCAAAGATATGTTCCTGTTTAGCTCCACAACACAAGAACTAATTACATCAATACGATATATATATATATGGCTTTTAAGAAATTATATCACTTGAGGAAATGTAAACAAAGGCGTGAAAACAAAAAATAAAATTAGTATGAGATGCAATTAAAATATTTGTGATTATAATTTTAATTAAATGTCAAGTGGCAAAACAATTAACGTCACATTTAGAATAGTTCGTGGTATGGATAAACCTTGGAAAGAGGTGTAAAGTTAGTAGATTTAATAGACAAATAAAGTTAGGTAGCAAGATAAAAAATTTTGAAAGATAAAGTGTAATACTGCAGTGAATATACTGAATTAAAATAATAAATGAGACGAGTGAATGAATACCAGGAACTTCATTATGGGTAAAATTTGTTTTGATAAAGTCTCACAGTCTTATACAGTAATGTTTACTGATGGCCACGTTTCGAGCACAATTCATTACTGCTCATAATCATCTCAAGGTACTCATACAACTTTCTAACTTCGTTTATTTAATTCCTTGATATGTTTAAAAGCAAAAAATTGTGCTCGAAACGTCATCAGTAAACATTACTGTATAACACTGTGAGACATTGTCAAAAATGAATTTTACCCATAATGGAATTATACTCTACCATAGTGCACAAGTTTTATTCTTATATCAATACCGGGAACTGTCTAAAGTGGAAATAATAATACTAATAACAGTCCCAGTGTAACGGTAGAAGACAAGAGACCTGGTAAATGAATGTTTATTTGAAATTTGGTATCTCAAATAGAGAAACTATGTACACCTTATCTGAAAATCGCCATTTACACAGGTCCTCTGCGTTGTATCACTTCTGCCCATCCTTCGTATTATATTTCTTTGTCTTCTTTTCGTCTCTTCGATGTTTTGCTGCAACGCTGAATCATTTGCTCTCTTTGACGTCAAATGTATCTCTCCGCTATTTGATATTTTTGTTCTGATGAACTTCTCTTTATATACTACTCACAAATCTTATCAGTAGCACACGCCGCATTAGTAATCAAGAAGGTGTACACAGATTAGATGAACAAAACGAAAACTAAGTGAATGTTTTATCCCTACTTTTTATTCTACAACTAAGGTAGAAAAGTTACTACACGTACTTCTTTTTTACACAAATTTCTGGTATGAATTCATAAATAGCCAAGACTTCTGATATCTTTAGAATTTTAGAACGAAGAAAACGTGGCAGTTTAGCCTGAATTGTACAACTTGGCAATATAACCGCTGACAAATGTCACATCGCTGATTGTTGTGTTCTGAATGCTATTATCCCCAGTCGTCAATCATATAATGACTGTGTGGCTCGATTGTTGGTTCTATTTTGTTCATACATTTGTGAGAACTATATAATAAAGTTAGAAGAAGTTCAGAAATTTAGATGAATAACTTAAATAATCAGTTAGCAAAGTTAAAATAGATGAATGAAGAGACAAACGGCTTGTTAAAATCCAAAATGCATATTGTCAAAGGCTCCAAGATCCAAAGTCTTAAGTGTGCTACTGACAAGAGTTATCAGTAGTGTATAAAGAGACACTGATCAGCACAAAAATGTCAAATAGCGGAGAGATACATTTGACGTCAAAGAGAGCAAATGATTCAGCGTTGCAGCAAAATGTTGAAGAAGCGAGAAGAAGACAAAGAAATATAATACGAGGGATGGGCAGAAGTGGTATAACACGGAAGATCTGTGCAAATAACGATTTTCAGAAAAGGTGAATGTAATTTCACTACATAGAAATATCAGATTCCAAATAAACATTCCTTTATCAAGTCACTTGTTTTATGCCGCTACAACATAAGGATTCAGGTGTAGTTATAATGAAGATAAAGTTCATTGAAGGTGAGTCATGACAAACAAGGATATGATCATTACTACAGCGAAATAGGCTAAACAGAAACTGTGAAAATTTTGAAGAATAATCTTTCCGATAATTTGGCTCATAATGAACTAAAGTCATAAGAGTTTCATCTACCGTACCTGCAACGCCTAACAGAAATAGGCTGCTGGATTGGTTGTTCTTGTTTTTGTATAAGTTCATCAAGGGAAAATAAGGCATAGGTAACAAGTATTTGATGTCATTTTTCTCAATATCACTAATAGTTGACAAAATCATTGGACAAAATGTTTGGAAGTTTGATTTAGAGTTCTGGTTAAAGAAAGCTGGCTCTCTGACAAGACTGTAGACTGGTAATAATGAAGGTGATCTGACGACTTGTTGCCTACCCTGTCTTAACTGCATGAGCAGTTTTAACTAGTATTTATATATGCCAGATGGAAGCTGATGTTGATCAAACCAAAGCTTGGAATCGCTGACTGTGGAATTCTTTACTTCGAAACTAATGTCACAACTGTAATTAGGCCATAAATGAATCAGCCTTTAGACTGCTGATGGTGAAAGTCTGTATGTTTCAACTCTAAGGGCTATTAAATTCATCAATCCATCTTCTTTTTGCAGCATTCTAACTCACGGATGGGTAACTCAGTGGCTAAATAATCATAATTGGCTGACTGATAAGTCAGCACAGTACTTCTCACACACCTACATTACTTCAAGTTGTCTTACTTCAAACAGCATACACGAAACAGAAAACTATAAATGTAATGTTATCCTGAAAGCGAGACCTGTATGAGTGATAGAATCATTTAATGCAAAGTAGTTTATGACACGTGCTACATATACCGAGTCACTGCTTTCTAGATCTAGTAATGTTAGCTGACATGGAATCGATATGAGAAATAGTTAGGAGTGAACAAATCAAAATATGGCATCATTCTACTGAGTATTTAGAAAGTAGAAGGATTGAGTGAAGATATATTTACTTTTCAATTAGATCCTCACATCTGGCTCTACTCTAATGTATATAGCATTTTTATTACAATACACAACAATTTACCAATCAAGTGACACTGATATGTTTGTTAACCGTAATTAGTCTGTATCAACATGTCAACGGGATGATAATTAACGAAGAAAATCAATACACACAATTAAAAGGTAGAAATGGTTGCAACACATGGATTGCGTAATGCATTATTTTGGAAAAGTAAAGAGTAATTGAGGGTTAATGTCAGTCTCTCTTAAGGAATAATCGTGTACACAGGTTAATTACGTGCTAAAATAGAGCTACAAATAGATTTCGTCTGTCCCTTGCTTAACCATGCTAGATGATGTTCGAAAATACGATGATGAACCTGCCAAACTGTACACCCTAATTAGCTGGCTTCGCAGCTGCAGTCAAACTACAAGATACACATAGAGGAGGCAAATTTAGCTAGCTTATCCTATATATATATATATATATATATATATATATATTTACAGTTTTATTTTCTCAACAATCTGTTACGTAATCAAACTGTGTACACGATTATTCCTTAAGAGAGACTGACATTAACCCTCAATTACTCTTTACTTTTCCAAAATAATGCATTACGCAATCCATGTGTTGCAACCATTTCTACCTTTTAATTGTGTGTATTGATTTTCTTCGTTAATTATCATCCCGTTGACATGTTGATACAGACTAATTACGGTTAACAAACATATCAGTGTCACTTGATTGGTAAATTGTTGTGTATTGTAATAAAAATGCTATATACATTAGAGTAGAGCCAGATGTGAGGATCTAATTGAAAAGTAAATATATCTTCACTCAATCCTTCTACTTTCTGAATGTCTAAATGGGGATTTTTTCTATATACGAAGTATCTGACAGCTGATTTGAGCCAATCACATAGGAA